CTGACTTCCAGTGGCCGGGCTTCCTGCAATTGTAACACAAATAAGATTCAGGAGGAGAGTCACTTACCTGTGGCTTTCCCTTGGATGGCCTTCTGACTGAGTCAGCTTTCTTGAAGAACTTTTTGAACTTCCGGAATTGCTTGACCATCATGGCAAATTCCTCATCGTAGTTCTCCATTTTTGAACTTGACGGCTGGCTGGAGGAGGGTGTGTCACAGTTCCTTGGGCATGTCCCTTCACTTGATGGGACTCTTGGAGTTGTCATCAGTGCCGTGGGGAAGGGAGTGACTTGTTCTTCCTTCTTCTTCTTCAGCTCGTGCTCATAGGTTCTGAGCTCATCAAGAAGACCTTGAACAGTGTAGTTCTCCAGATTTCTTCCTTCTTCCATGGCTGTGGCTTTGGTGTACCACTCAGTTGGAAGAGATCTCAGCAACCTTACATTCTTTTCTTTGGGAGAAAGAACGTGGTTAAGTGATGCAAGATCATTCAAGATTTTGTGGAATCTTTCATCCAGCATATCAAATGATTCTCCGGGAAGCATTTTGAAGCTTTTGAACTTCTCAAGCAGGACTTCTATCTTCTGCTTTCTCAAGTCCTCTGAACCCTCACATAGCTTCCCAAGACCTTGCCATATCTCCATGGCAGTCTTGAGGTGCTTAATTTTGGAGAAGGTGATGGGGTCAAGTGTCTTGAAGATGGCTGCTTTGGCGACGTTATCCAGATTGTGCTTTTTGCAATCTCTATCATCCCATTTTTCCTTGGGCTTTGGAATGTACTGGACTACGTCTTGAGTTGCTGGATTCCTCTCAGGATTCTCCATTTGGATTTTCAAGGGTCCATCCTCAAGCACCATCCACATGCAATCATGTAGAGCGTAAAGGTGTGCTTCCATCATGATCTTCCAATCATCATAACCTAGAAGAGAAAACTTGGGCAAACCGTGATCCATATTGTTCACCATTTTGATCACTTCTCGTTAATCTAAATGTAGATAGTGAGAAGACTGCTCCGATACCAATTGGTGGTCCCAAAGTGGTGAAATACAAAGTCTAGAGGGGGGGTGAATAGACTTTGTTACAAGTTTAAAATCTTTTTCGTTTCTTTTGAAAACGAGAAAATGAGTGTTAATCTAGAGTCCTTGTGAACTTTAGATTGTGTGCGAAATTTGGTGGGTGGAGTGAGCAGTTATTAATATGGATAGGTTAGTTTTCACAGTTAATATAATTGCAAGTAAGAATAAAGATAAGAGAGAGAGACACGCAAACTTTAACGAGGTTCGAAGGTGGGGTAATCCTTCTACGTCCTCAAAATCCACTATGTAGTTGGTTGTTGAATAATGAACCAACAGTTACACTTGTGTGAATTTTTGCACGGTATATCTTCACAAGACCAATGTTGCTACTGCACTCGTGCTGGCTTTGTTGTTCCTTCGAAGGTCAAGCTTCTTCAACAACTGCAAGGTCCGAACAATAGGACTTGCAAGATCAACTTGTAAGAGAGTTGACCTACGCCTTTTTAATCAATAAGTTTGATCAAAAGTAATATCCTTCAACGTGGTGTGGTGCTTGAGGCAAGGAAACCTTTAAGTGTTTACACTATAGCTTTTTGGAAGGAGGAGAAGTTTGCTTCTGGATAAGGAGTTTAGAAATCTCTCTTTATCAAGCTTTTTGGGCTAACTGTGAATGAGATAGCTTTAGTGATTGCTTTGTTGTGTTGTTGTATCAACGTATCTCATCATATTCTCTTCAGTCTTCTAAGGATGCTATTTATAGCTGGATTGGATAATCTATCCGTTGAATCATAATGGACTATCCGTTGCATTTGCTGGCTTCAATTTTGAATGAAGATTGTGATTCCACAAAATCCGTCTTCTAGCTTTTGTTCAAGAATTCAAGACTGTAGCACTTTACTCTGTTTGTCTTCTAGTGCTTGTTTAGGAATTCCGGGCAGGCTCTTTAATTTTAGAGACCCAGACTTTGTCTTCGAGTAATTTGTTCTTGAATCAGCCTAATTATCTTCATTCTAGCCGTTGAAAATCAAGAGATTGATTTTTCCTTGCCACGGGTAGAATTTCTTCATTCAGGACTTAGATGATTTTCTAAGC